TTCTAGACATTTCTGAGATCATTAAGTCATAAATATCGAGTCTTGTTGGGTATATTTCATCCATGCATGAGTTATTGGTACTTTAGTGATGTTATGGACCTAGGGTTTAGTTTTGGGTCCTAATGATCCATGAAAAAGCTGAAAGTTGTCAACTTTATTCGTTGTAACCTTCACAATATTAAGATATATGAGTTAGACGTCTTGTCTTAAACCATTAAGAGATTAAAGTTTAGTTTTGGGCAGCAGTAGACTATGTCGGGCATACCTTCCAGCTACGTAGGGTGTAATGGGTTTGGTCTGAATTCCCCTTCTGTCGAAGCCCAATACACAGGGGGTAATGGGGTGGTACGCATGACGTACTCACCAGAAGGCCATTTAGGCCTTGCGTCATTATGAGTTTGGGCCATGGTTAAATGGGTCAAGTACGGGAAGGGTAAAATGGTCTTTTACCCTAAACATGATAAAATATAATCTGGACCATTTATTATGGGTTATTACCCTAATTATTAATTAGGGTTGATTTTAGATATGTTTAGTGTGAGGAGTCGTGGTAGCAGCAGCCCAAGAGTGTGATGTGTTTATCATCAGATTGAGGTGAGTCTCCTCACTATACTTGTGGGTCGAAGGCACCAATGTCGGCCCACTGGACTATGTTGTAGTATAGTAGTGATCTTTGTGCCACTTATTGATATGCGTGTATGTACTTGCTGTCTTTGTGACTCTTGCTAGTATGACTGTATGCTTAGCTGTAGGGGTAAAATAGACTCGTATCGGTTGAAAGATATTAAAGGAGTCGGAAGGAACTCACGGTTTAAATAGACGCCTTACATGCTTTAGTATGATATGTATGTATGATGTGTATGTATAGTATGTGATATTTTGGGGAAACTCACTAAGCTTTGTGCTTACGATTTATGTTTAAATGTTTTTCAGGTACTTCCAGTTCAAAAGGGAAGGGCCCGACATGATCGCATCGTAACCACCTGTGTTTAACATTTTATGATTTTTGGATTATACTCTGATAACTATTTTTCTACTATGACATACTTGATGGTTTTTGAAATATATGGTTGATGGTTTGTTTGATTTTAAACAAATTTTTTACTTGCTATTTTTGGGATGTTACAAACCATTTCTCAGATATATGAGATATAATGTCCTTGGGATTCCTAAGAGTCATAAAGTTGCAAACTTTATCACTTTTCTCCACTTAAAATCCAATAAAAGAGTTTATTAAGAAACATAACTCTAGATCTCTAAGAATGAGGTAAAGGACTAGATCATGAGCCTTACAAATGGTCCAACAAGGTGCTTTCAGAGGTTAGGGAGTGTTGCTTGTTGGTCTCTTGCACAAAATCCTCATCTACTTCCTTTAAAATCACCAAAAGCTAGCAAATGATCTCCAAAAGCTTCAAAGAATATAAGGGTTACAGTTTCTGGGGAGTTGAGTTGAGAGTGATGGAGGTTGATGATGAATAAACACTAGCCTCCTCATTCCTTTAGAGGGCGCAAAGCCCGAAAATTAGGGTTTCATTAAAATCAGCTGCCACGTCGTGGCACATCTGGCCACGCCAAAGCAGGTCTTTCAAACTCTACGATCAATGAAAATATTTCTACGCTGTGGTGAGGCTCCACCACGCCGTGGCCACCCAAAATGAAGATTAATAATACAACATATTAATTCATACCTGGGACTGGTGTTACATGTAGGCAGTGATGGTGCACCGGAAGAAGATGAAGATATAGGGTGGTTGGTAGGGTCTTCATTATTTGTTCTGCATCGAGATGGCATGGAGACGAAGGTGGAGAGGGGGAATGAGAAGGTAGTGGTGGTTTTGACAAGGGATGGGTGACAGTTAGAAGGGATGGTGGGGTGGGGGTGTGGGTGCGGCCATTTATTTCATTATCAATAATAAATTATATAAGTAATAAAGAAATGTTAAAAAATCACATAAGGTTTGGATATAATCGTACACCAAATGTTTGACAAAGTTAGTTTTTATTACTACATAGCACAAAAGTTAGCACCACATGGTACTTTGGGTCCATTTTAAAGTTTGACTCTCGCCACATATACACTTGGACTTTTAATGTCACACTTAAGACATAAAATTCTAAGATTGGAACTTGGTTAAGGACTTGAAATCCAACAATACTTTTTATTGTATTGATTATAAAGTTCCCCGTTAAATTTTAAAGATTTGTGAAATAATGTGGATATTATATAAATTTATGCAAGCATGTCTCATATAATTTTGTAATGTTTTTTCATGCTTGTCGAAAACTCACATATGGATTTATAGGGTGATAATGATCCTCACAGGGTACGTAACTTCCTTATTGAAAGACTATGTGATCTAAGTGTTGTTTTTTCAATTAAGATTGACAATTACAATTTGGTACCATAATAAGTGCGTCGTTTCACTGTAACTAAATACTATGGTGCAATGTGGAATATGCCAAACCAAGAAAATACAACACCTTCAAATGAGGTCATTTGTCCCCTTCATACAAATATTGTCGAATCACTGTCACCTAATTCACGAACATTGTCACCTAATTCACGAACATCAATGGTAACTATTATTGGTTTTTCTATTATAAATTATAAATTGTATTCTTTATATTGTATGTTTCTTTATGTATTTTGGTTGTAACAATGTTTTTGCTAATCATGGAGTTGATGTTTCTCACAAGTTCAGTTCTTAGGTAAATAATGTTGAGTCGAGTAACTAATTGATAGGTTATGTTTCTTTTCATTGAGTTTTTATTATTGCATATATTGTTGCATTAGGATGACTTTGGTATTGTAAAAAATGATGCTTTTAATGCTTCTATTTATGAGGTAAATGATGAGGAATATAATGATGTAAGTTATAACATATGGTTTAACTTGTGTAATTTTCTTACAATACGGAAATATTTATCTATTATTTTGTTATTGTTGTTTCATTGTACAGAATTAGGATGTTTTTGCTGTTTGTCCCCTTTCAATTTCAACACATGTTGAATAAGTGCCGCCTAAATCACCAACATCAACATCAACTGTAATTGTTATTGTCTTTTCTTTAATATAAATTATAAATTGTATTCTTTATATCTTATGTTTCTTTATGTCTTTTCGTTGTACTAATATTAGATTGTTTGTGCTAATCATAAAGTTGATGTTTATGACAAGTCAAGTAACTAGTTCTAAGGTAAATAATATCGAGTCAAGTAACTAACTTACGATCACATTTTTTTCGTTCAGTTATTATTGTTGCATATTTTGTTAAATTGTGTTTCTTGTTCACATTTTGATTTTTCCAATTAGGATAATTGTGGTATTATCAAAGATGATGCTATTGATGAATCGATGTCTAAGGTAAAACATGGGGAATATAGTGATGTAAGTTATAACATATGGTTTAACTTGTGTATTTTTCTTACGATTGTTGTTTTTACTTGTACATTTAGGTGGTGTTTGTTTTTTGTCTGCAGATCTGCGTAGCCTCTTCTGTCTGCGCCGCGCAGACCACACGCATACATTAGCCTTCACAGACTGTTTGTTTTTTTGAAGACTGCAGACCTAAAAATATATGCGCGCCCTCTTCTTGGCGCAGATGTGGACCAGAGTCTTCTAACATCTTCAAACATCTTCTAGCCTAAAACAACACATATATCTTTATTTGTTTTAAGTTTTTTTTAATTTATATTTTTTCCAACTTTATTAATGATAAACAATTTGAAAAAAAAATTACAAAACTTAAAAAAAACGTTCGACGATACAAACATGATATTTTTGACAAATTTATAAATAAATATTTATTATAATAATAGTCGTTGAAATTGTTTATATAAATATGAAAAAAAAATCATAATATATATTCTTATATTTTTTTGCCAAATTTTGTAAAACATTATTTAATACAGTATCGTTAATTTCTCGAGAAAATATTTATGAGATTCAAAAACTCGAACAGGAACTCTGGGGTCTTGAAATGGTTGGTTCTGACATATCAACTTATACTAATAGATTCTGTGATCTGGCAATTCTTTATTTATGGTACGTTTTTAATGAATTTAATTGAAAAAATCGAAGTTTATTTCCATCCATTTATGTATCAAATTCTTTGATCCCTAATTATAATATTTAGTTATAACTTTGCAACCAAAATTGTTGGTTTTTTATCAAATATATACGTTAATTATACCATTTTTATTTTTATTTTTTATACAATAATATATAAAAGTTGATCCAGATTTGTTAATTATTTATAACAAAGTCATAAAAATATTAAAAAATCACTTTGAAGTTTAAAAAAATCAGTTTATTTAGATTTCAGTTTATTTTAGTAGCCCGCAGATGTTAAAAAAACAAACAGTCTTCTTTTTTCAGACTGCAGACCTTTGGTCCACCTCTTCTACTGCAGAGGTCTACAGATGTGGTCCGCAAACTGCAGACATATTGCCTCAGAAAAAACAAACAGCACCTTAGACTATTTGTGCCAATATCGAAGTTGATGTTGCTGACAATTCTATGACCGACTCAAACGATGGGGAAGAAAATTAAGTAAGTTGTAACACATTTTTTATGATATAGAAAAAATATATATCAATTATATATTTTCTGATGAACTTTTGTTTCATTCTATTTTGATCTTATATGATGCAGGTGGTAAATATACCTTGTGAAACCTACCATAATAGCAAATTAGTTTGTTAAGACATTTACGACAATAAACAATATGTGAATGAATTTGGGATGTAAGTAAACAATAGTTTTGAAATTTTTTGTAGTATTTTTGAACTTGATTTCATTTGATTGTGTTTTATCGATTGCTATTATTTTATTTGATTGACTTTTAATGTATTGTTATTTTTATTCATTCATACGTATATTTGGGTAGATTTTTTATTACATTGCTAATATGGAAAAAAAATGAAAGAATAATACTATAGAAGAAAGTAAAATGAATCTATTGTTTTTATATTTGTCAACCACATAGGTATAACACTAGTTACATGAATATGAGAGAAATAAAATTTGCGAGCTTGATCCTCATCTTGTCTAGAAAATGATAATATGCATCTCTCCATTGTTTGCTAGCAATCAACATGCCAATCGTGATCCAAAAACCAACAGCCAATCCAACAATCGTACATATTACAAGGATCCAATCAGTGCCATCAGGGACGTCGACGTCATGATCATCATTAGTACCGTTGGTAGCGTCACTATTTGGTCGACACCCTGGAAGAGGAGTCCCACAAAGTGCATTTCCAATGAAACTAAATTCATTGAAGGTTTGAATCTGACTTCCTATAGGGATTGTTCCTGTAAGTTTGTTGTATGACACGTTCAACAAACTCAGACCACTTAACCCCGCCAAGCTAAAAGGAATCTCCCCATCAAGATAGTTCATAGACAAATCCAAAGATTCGAGCTCTCTCATTTCAATGAAAGTGTTGGGAATTCTTCCTGTTAACTGATTTTGTGAAAGATTCAAGTAACGTAAGCTTGAAAGTGAGAAGAGTTCATTTGGAATCGACCCAGAAAAGTTGTTATTAGAAAGGTCTATTGTCGTCACTAAATACAGAATGCTGCTATATAAATAAAACTGTCCCTTTGTCACCAATGTCGCACTGCCTAAAACTATATTCTGGAAAATAGTATTGTAAAGAACAATGGGATTGGAAGTCTGTTGTCCAGAAAAGACAGTGAAGTTTGTAAAGCATTTTGGTAGGTACCCAGAAAGATTGTTGCCAGCAAGATCCAAAACTTGTATAGAACTGAAACTACATATTTCATTCGGGATTTCACCTTCTAACTTGTTGGATCGAAGACTCAGAATTTTCAAACTTGTATTGTTTCTTCCTATCGAATCCGGGATTCTTCCAGTGAGTTCATTTTCTGCAAGCTCAACAATCAACAAGCTTTTGGAATTCAAAAGAGACATCGGTATTTCACCAGATAACTTGTTATTTCTTATGTTTAGTGATGCCAACCGATAAATATTTCCCAAAGATGACGGAATTTTACCAGATAAACTGTTGTTTTCTAGGTTTAGGACTACCAAATATTCCCATTTCATCCAACAATCTGGTAGATCACCTGACATGTTATTGTTTGCTAGATTAAGAACACTTAACTGTTGCAATGGCTGAATTCCAGAACACAAGAACTGGTCTAAAGATCCAGAAAGATTATTATATGAAAGATCCAAGAAAGCAAAGTCAGGTTGATTGAAATAACTAGGGAGCTCACCATGGAAATGGTTAGAACTCATATCTACTACTGCCTCCGGTGTAAGAAAATCAACGTTTCCCAGTTTCCCCATAATATTATTATGGGATATGTTCAAGAACGTTACTAAAGAGAAAGTACTCCACATCCAATTCGGGATAGTGTCTGATATGTTTGCGTTTGCTAAATCCAACTCTTCCAAGTTTCTTTGAGATTGAACCCACGAAGGAAAAAGTGGGCCTAAACTACAAGAACCTATTCGCAACACTTTGAGGTTGAATGGCGGGTTCCAACTGTTGTTGACTAGGTTAAACGTTAACTTATTATTGTCCCCAACCCACAAAGTCTCCAAGGCAGTTAGATTCGCGAAATGGTTTTCCATCACAATACCTGTCAACAAATTGTGATGAAGTTCTAGAAAACTTAGTTTCCCAAGTTTTCCAACACTTTTAGGAAGACTTCCGTTTAAATTGTTGTAGGAAAGTGTCAAAAGTTCCAACGAGGATAGATCACCAACTGAATCCGGGATTGAACCCTCGAGTTGATTTCTATTAAGCTGTAATATCTTCAACAGTGACAAACTTCCTAATGAACTTGGAAGAATCCCAGTTAACTTATTGGATGAGAGATCAATTCTCGTCAGATTCTTCAATCTTCCTAGTTTTTCCGGGAGTCGACCAGTGACATGATTGCCACCTAAAGCTATCAATTCCAGTTTAGGTGACTCACATTCACAAAATCTTTCAAGAAGCTCAGACACGTCACCCGAAAAATTGTTGGATTGGAGATTAAGGGTTGTGAAGTTGCAGAGACTACTGAAAGATTTAGGTATCTCCTCAACGATATGGTTGTGTGATAGATCAAGATGAACAACTAGAGACAGGTTCTGAAGTTTGACAAGAATTGGATCATAAATATCGCAGAAACTAACATCAAGAAAACGGAGATTATTTAAGTTGGACAACCCGTTTAGAAATGAAGAAGAATTTGCAAAAGCGTTTCTTGAAATACGAAGAGTCCTCAAAGAGGGTGTGCTATTAAAACCACCTTGACTTCTGAGATCTAGACCATTGATAAAACAAGCAGTAAGATCTAACGTAATTAATTTAGGAAGACTGAAAACCCATCCAGGCAATAAACCATAGAAGGAGTTATACGAAAGATCTAAGACGATGAGAGAAGTAAAACTAACTCTGGTCGGGTAACTAGGAATTTGAGTTAAGCGACATGAAGAAAAGTGCAGTTCATGCAAAGAAGGTAGACTGTTGATTGCCTGAAGCCAATCTGAAGCTCCGGTGAGGTTGATGCCACCCATATTCAGGTATTGCAACTGCTTCAGATTCTCTATCCATTTTAAATTCTCCGAGCTAATATCATTGTCATGAACATCTAGAACAAGCAACGATGATAAATTCCCAAGCTGGTGAGGAATTTCCCCTTGGAATTGCGACTTTGAGATGTTAAGATATCTCAGATTCCGCAGAGAGCCGATGAATGCTGGAATCGGGATGAATCCAAAATCATTGCAACTCAAGTCTAGGTACCGGAGTTGTTCTAACTTGATCAAAGAAGGACTTATGATTCCTCCTAGCATTTGTTTTTTGGGTTCTTCGAGTTCATAATCATCGCTGTCATCTACCTCATGACAATAGCCATCGACAGATCCACGGAGGCGAAGCTCCTGGACGTGGTGGGTGATGTTATTGCAGACCACACCGTACCAACTGCAACAGTCTTCGCCTGACCAAGAAGAGAGGTGGTCGGCGTTGTCCACGAGACTGTTCTTGAACATAATAAGCGCCAATCTTTCTGTGGCTACACGGTGTACTTTATCTGCTTTATCTGAGTTGTGATTACAGAAACACAAGGTGGAAAGTGATGAAGCAAAGATCAACCAAAGGCAATATGAATAAAGAGAAAAAGTAGCAAGTGCGAGGGACTTCATGGCAGTGAAGATTGATGCCTAATTAAGAGTGTTTTATCTGCTCGCATCTAGTATATAATACAATACAAAAAGTTTAGAGAAGAAAGAATTATTCAAAAACTCATGGACCAAGTCTAAATTAATAATCAAACCACTACGACCAAAAAAAATTGTTGATTGTGACGTGCCATTATGACATGAATATAACATGAATTTCAAAAGAAATTGTTTTATTTAATATTTTGTTTTGTTAGTGTTATTCAAGGTACTTAGACAGAAAGGAAATTGACCATAGAGATGAAGCTTCATGGGTTCAAAAAAGTCAAAACACGTGTAACCGAAGTCTACGTTAAATTCAGTTGATATGTATTTTTGTATACCATGTCTATTAATATAAAAATTGTAAATATGATTGATCTAATCGTTTTACGGGTTTCTAACATATGATGTTTTAAGATGTGAGCGTGTTTGGCAGAGATCTTTTAAAAGCCTTTTGTAATTATTGAGGTGCTGTTTGTTTTTTTATAAAAACCTCTTCAAACCACTTATTGCTGCGCGGCGCAGCACAAGCGCAACATTTTCCCTCTCGCAGCAGTTTGTTTTTTGAAAGGCTTCAGACTACAAAACCTCTGCGCGTGTGCTGCGTGGCGCAGCACTTGACTTGCCTCTTCTAACCTCTTCAGCTTTCATTTTTTAAAGTGTTTTTTTAACAATTTTTGTATAACTTATTTTTTTTTAATTTTTTTTTTAAACTTTGATTTTCTTAAATTTTTATTTACGGATGTGATACAATTTATTTTTATAATTTCCACGATTTGTTTTAACTTGATTTTTTTAATTTTTTTTATCGCTTCTATTAATAATATTTTCAGTTTCAGTTGCATCTTTTTTAACGTGTGTAATTTTTTACGAACTTTGTA